AAACATGCCTCCTAGCCAAAGCACGTTCTAAACCCACCAAGCATGTTAAGCATGTTATATAAAACTACACCAGAATTTTGTAAATTCAGTCCACAAAGCATTCCTTCACACAGCTAAAACTTATGCTCAGAACCTTACAATTCTGTATATTTGTTAACAGACTTTCCTCCAGCCTTGACAAAGACAATCCTGACTACTTTGCTTCCTTCCAGATTGCTGCTTCAAAGCTCTTTGCATTGACCAAAATACTCCAGTACTCCATTTCTACTTTTATATTTACACAAATTTTTCATTTTTGTAATTTAATCTCTTCACCTCAAGTTACAGCACTTTTCAAACTTCTTAAACATGTTTACAGGCCCCAAAGCAAACAATTAGCATTGCTTCTTTTTTATCTTTGCCTTTGGTACATTTATTGTTTTAGTTTATTTGTTTTCTCAGTCTGTTGACCAGCTGCTTTAGATTTCATTTGGGACTTCTATCAGCATCACAATTCATTCCTGCAGAGAAACTTTCCAAGATTATACCCTTACAATCCAAATAATCATGTATTACATTGTTTCTAGAAAAACTCTACTCATTTCTTAGCCAAAAAAAAAAAAAAAAACAGTTACCCCTGTGCTTCATCTGCATTTGCTATGTGTTCAGTAAAAAAGCACTTCCTTCCAGTTCTCTGGACTTTAGGCCACATTTTTAATGTCTTCATAAAATTCCAACATTTCTATTCTCTTGTGTCTTTGAGCCCTTATTAGTCTCTCCAGATTACAACCATCAGAAGAAATGACAGTAACCCTCCCCACCACCTTCTCAGAGATATATAAAGTCAGGAGCTTATTACCTGCTCCCAACACCCAGCACCTCCGTCGAGCTCAAAAGTCAGAAGCCTACACCTTGGCCTTCATTACTGGTGATTGGTCTGACTTCATTCATTCATAATTGCCCGTGGAGAGGCCCTTTAGCTGCTTTGTGTAAGGATCCTATCCTGCCTAATATTTGCCTCCTGAACAAAGCAATAGACCCGTGTCTTGCTCTCTGCCCATGGTCACGGTCAGTACTGTCCTACAAGACGACAGGGAGCTGTCAGTACTCTTGGGAGGCTACTAAACAGGGCTCTTTCCTGTAAGCCAACATGGGAGGAGGGACTCAGTACGTTCTTGGAGCCTGAAAACCCAGTGTTAGCAGCTTGACAAAACAAATGTAGCCCTCTGAATCAAGAAAAATAAATACAAATTTCTTCCCACCCTAATTTTGCTATTTGGATTATTGCCCAGCTAATTCATTTGAAAACCAAATCTAACCTAGCAACTGTCTTGAAAATTGAGTAACCTCAGGTTCAACTGTATTAAAAAACTGCAACTTCAGGCAAAATTGATGGAACAGCTCATTCACAGTACTTTCACCAAGACCCGACCCTCATTTCATGTTTTTATGATTACACTTACATTGTGTTACAATTTACCAGCAGCAGCACTGTATTATAATGTATATTACCATTAGCAGACTCTGACTGTATGCATCCAACTTCGTGAACAGCTAAAGATGCATGGCTCAATGCATATTCATCGCTGCACTGCCATTTCTCAGCTGTTGAAACAGCTGCGTGAATCAGCAACAAGTTTCACAACTTAAAATAGATGTAACCCTGCAGGATACTTGGGCTCAGGACACGTTATGATTCTCACTCTTAGGCCTGGTGAGAGCTACAAACATGGTGCACTTACTGCAGTGTTTCTCTCTGCAGTATTTCTCCGCTCAAGCATAGCGCTGCCGTAAGCGTGCAATCTACATTAATGTTTTAGTTTGGAGCAGGAGTGTGTTTTTGAAATGAATCTCCTGATCAACGCCAGTGACCGTGCGTTGGTTCCCATCACAGAGTGGTCTTGAAATGGATGGACTCGATTCCTTTTGAGGGAGCTAAACCAGAAAACGTGCTCCAGGTCCCATTCATGGGACTACATTACAACTCGCCAAAAGCAAATCCTCTTGAAATGCATACAGTGTAATTTGGGTCCTCAGCACAAACTGTTTTGTTCCACAAGTCTGCTCCTATCAGTCTGTACCATTTGCTAAAGGTAGACATACCATGACATGGCTATCTGGCTTCTAGGGAGGAGCGGGACCACTTCAGGCTCCTTGCAATAAAGGCAGAAACTCATGACATAAATCTTGGGGTGGATGGCTTTTAGTGTCAGTGAACCAGAATTTTTCCTTTAAACTAACACTCATTCCTGGCTTTATGAAAAAAACATCTAGCATATACATCCTTCTCCATTGGGAGGCCATTCTTAATTCTCTTCCAGATCCACAGCTTGAAAAGACATCTAAGAGCACACGCTCAATTATTCAGTAAACAAACAAACAAACTACCTGTGATTTTGTTCATTTGCTATGTCAGAAAACTGTAAGACTCATTCCTATACTTTGCTGTTATTGTACTTCCAGCATTTGTTGCTCCTTCCCTTCCGCCCCATGTAAGCGCTACTGTGTATCTCAGAAAAATCAAATGTTATGCCATCCTCATATGTTTTTATCTGTCATTATCACGTGCATAGGAATGTGTGTGTCACTGCAAGAAGAGCTTGATATTTATTTTAAATTACTGCAATAATAAGGAAATCAGCTGTATTACATTTTCCTTAGAATAATGCAATGCAAAGCTTTAATATAAAAAGGGGTTCCTGGTTATAATGCTTGGTCAGTATGTTTCCAATACAATCATTTCACCGCTACTGAAACATTACTGTAGATACTGTTGTAAATAATGCGTAGAAATTGCATTTCCTTTAGGAATTTCCATACATATTTGCTATGTATCCTTAGATGGCAAGTTAGTCCCTTTCTTCCACCTACTCTAGCGCAAAAACAAACACTGCATCGCTTACACAATTGTGCCTAATTATATAAATGCACTAATTATACACACTTCTGAAATGCTGATAGACTTCAAAGCAGGTAAATTTTAAATTGTACTATTAAGAAAATCTATTAGATGACGGAAATTTCTGTAACATCATATTGCAATCTCCTGCATAGTAATTTTGGTTTCAAGTCAGTGTTAGTTTAATGACAAATAACAGCAGAGAATAATAGAGTTGGGAAAGCAAACTGAAAGTTGAAACAGTTACAGTGTGATATTGGTCAGCAGATGTTAATAAAAGGGAACAGAAAACAATTTGGAAAAGCAATGGAACTAAGGTAAACAATAAGAAGAAAGAAGGTTTGCAGCATGATAAACATGAATATGGAGCTTCAGAAACCACTCTGTTCACAGAAAGATAAACACCTGCGAGACTGACTTATCCCCATGTGTTTAGCTACTCATGAGAAAATATATATGCCATTGCATACTTAATTTACATGCACAGTTATCACACTGCTAGTAACAACTTGCAAATTAGTTACTTGCAGTTCAGAGCATCTCTTTGCATGCAAAATAACAACTGAATGTACAAACCAGTCCTGCAAGGGCACACGCAGCTCAGCCCGCAAATGTCACACACGCATTTATGAAAACCAAGCTGCTGCACAAGAGTACACCTTCTTTTTGTACCTTCATATATGCTTCTGATTGATATACTCTTACTCTTCAAACACAATTCGTTTCTGTTAACATTAGGTATTCAGCAAAAACCACGGTTTTTCAACATAACACTTCAGTGAAATCACATGAATGCATGAAAGGTGATAGTCTCTTAACACCACTTAAGAGTTACTCTATATATTGCACTGATGTCTTAGGTGAGTGTTTCATATATGTTGCAAGAATTTATATATTTTTACTGCAGAATCTAGACCTTGCATTAACAAGACCAAAAGGCAGATCAGACCACAACTACAACGTTCCTACATTACACAGATGCCGTAGCAGGAGATGTTAAATAACGCGTACTACGGCAGTAGGGAGAGAAGAGCTGAATGAGACTACAACGAGGCTTTTTATCATTTAGTTGCCATAACTGGATTCTGAATCTAGGTCTCATACAAGGATATCAGTCAGGTAAATCGGTCAAAATAAACCTCATAGAGAAAAATACCTTCAGACAAACCTTTCTGATCTTTAGAAAAATAAAATACCAGCTCCTCCAACTCTCTGACCGCAACACTATGAAGACACTTTCCATTCTGATAACTGGAAAATAGTCTAACTTCACTGGATATAAATTTGCAGGGCTTATCACTCTGTGTTCTTTTGCAACCTACCGCTTCTCAAGAGTGGACAAAGTGTGTGGCTAGTTGTATTTCACATACATACTTCTCCATTAAAACAAACAAGGCCTACTTTATAGCTTCAAATTTTTAGCTCTGCCTCATCACCACCTTAGTATAATGCAAAGAAGTCTCTTTTAGGACACAGGGATCTCTCATCTTTAGTCAAACCCAAGCCTATAGCTCATGTGGCAGGGAGGAAACAGAATCCCTCTACAATGAATTTGAATGGCATTGTGTAGAGAAAGGGAAATGGTCTACCTTCTGTCACACAAAACCTAGTGTCAAAACAGAGGGTCCTACTAAGTCACTGGTTGTCACGCTCGGCCAAAGCAAGTTACGGAATGGCTTCATAGAGGAATCTTACAATCAGCGGGTGCCAAGTTCTAGCAGTGATCAGAACTTTCCCTCAAAGTTCAAGAACTCTTGGGTCTGAGATTTTTGCTAGACCTTTCAGAGTATGGTGTCCAGACGTGCTTGGATAGCCTTAAGGACATAGGCTTTTGCTCTGGCACATCTACATAATTCTAACAGAGACTAAAAACTTTACATAAATTTTTACACAAGCAACTAAATATTTTCTCTGTATAAAGTCATCAAAATGAGTCACATGAAGACGCTTGCATAAAACTTGGAATTTAAAATAAACACAACCAAAGTTCAATATTGGAACAATCAGCTCCAAAAGCAACATGGAGGAAAGCTATAGAACAGGAAATGAGTTTGTGCTCATTGGGAACTTCTTTTGAACTCTGATCATTTATGAAGCAATTCCATGCTCCGCCCAATGTTACCTTTTGATAGTCTTCTTTAGATCTCAAGGCAGCTTCCATCTGCTCCTCCGAGAACGTGTAGATGGCCGAACGATACTGTGTGCCAAAGTCGTTACCCTGCCGCATTCCTGGAGAGAGAGACAACGCACCACACTATCAGGATCATGCTCTCCATCTGACTGGATTGCAGTGCGTAAATTCAATAGACCTTAGCATGTTCCATACACCTGGATTAGCAAAGTCTCTTACGTTCATACTCAGTGGGTAATTTTAGCAAGTCCAAGCCTTTCTTTGGTTAAATAGTCTTGAAGAGATTCAACGCTGATATCTCTGTTTAAATGACATGCAAATTAAACGTGAGCATTTTACATTTTGGTAAATCACATAGTAGTCAAATACAGATGTAACTTTAAATAATCAAGCTGCAGTTACTGTAATCAAGGTACTCTTAAAATACTTATTCTGAACCACGCAAATGTTTTTAAAAAACTTTGCTTTTAGCAAATGTTTAAAAATTCTCTTGTACTGAAGGATTACATCTTAATGGCAGAAGGGTTCAAAATTCCCTTGAAGATGACTAGCTGTTTTCCTTTATACACAAAGCAATGATTTTGCTAGAAGAATATGCATGTTGTGCTGAATTAAGTCTGGAGCTAACTTATTAACCTCAACTATCACCACCACCATTTATGAAGATAGATAGAAAATTACTCTTATGAAGCTCTCAAATCTGGGCTCCAAGTATTCCTCTGAAAGGTGAATATGATAAGGAGAAAGCATGGAGAAGGCTTGGCTTTATTAGTACTGTCATATAGTCAGTAATGCTTAAGATCAGCATCCCTTCCACAATTTTTTTGAGTTTGGGAGAGGTATAAAACAAAGGTATATAGGTAATCTCTACTAAATTCTCTTTGCAACCTGTGTATGATAATTTGGATAGCAAAAGTATATAAGACTGTTTATACCTAACATAATGAAAACAAAATCCTAGCTGTCGATCCTCAGTAACTCCCAGTAATCATAAACATTTACATCATAAATGTAAACATACATATAAAAATCATAAACAATTAATTTTGGAACAAGGATCAGCCTCTTTTTTTGCTGATATATGTAGTCTCTTCAGAACACTACTTCTACGGATGGCTGCTCATGCACCAATTTGCAAAATCAAAGCTAGGTTCTACCTAAGAAACTATAAAGTAATGGGCAAAACAAGAGGGAAAATTTATTAGATACTATTCCGTTAAGTGGCCAGCCCGGATGCGGTTTGGCATTAGGCAGCTACATCGGCCAAAGGCATTGCTCCCTCTCATCACTATCCATTCCCATTCCCTTACGTCCAGCCGTGTGCTGGGATGCTGGTTTGAATATCTGTGGTATGAGCGAGATCAGGGAACAGATACAGGTGTAAAACAGCTCTCTTCCTTCAAAGAAGTGTTTATTCTGTTCATTTACACTTTTTTCCATGTCCAGTTCATAGCCAGATGCTGCAAATAGTTGAGCCAGGACAGTCTAGAGGGAGCTATCTCATGGCAGAGCACATCACCGGAGGGAGTAACACTGTAAGCCAGGATCACTGTGGATCTTTCCATAAAATCAAACAACAGTCTTAGAAAGGACCTTTAACATTAAGAATGATCTGAAATTGCAGTTTTGATGTCTTATTTCCATCATAACCCCGCTCCCAATTTAGCATTCAAGAACGTAACTTTGTGCTTTCTTGTAATAAAATTCATTTTCATTTTCAGTTTGTCTGATGTTTGAAGGGAACTTGGGTGACTAAAAAACCAGGAATGGCTTTCATTTCTGAAGCAACAGACTCAAACAAGCAGACTCTTCCCAAATGTGCAAGACAAACTGGAAATTATCGGGATTTGCCTTTTAATGCCACTGGCCTACAGAAGCCACTTTGAAGATTAACATCACATATCAGGTCTATGGAGAAAATACGGATAACACCTGTAGGTGCTGATGCTGATGTAGGTAATGTAGGTGATGATCAAGGGCATTTGGTGGGAAAAGATCTGTCATACTGGGGAAGGAGGAGAAGATGCTATCATCAAAATACTACTCATTAAATCATGAAAACTTTTATCCCCCCTGAACTTTCTAAGGAAACAGAAAAATGGTTTAAAGAACAGTACAAAAAAACAGTTAAAACCTGGCTGAAATATTTATGAACGAAAAGATGCAGAAATATTTTAAGGGATCCATTTGGATGAAAAGTTCATTCAGTGACTAACAGTATATATGAGTAAAAGTGATTCTGAAAAATGTTGTGGAATTTTCAGATAATTTGAATTATTAAGTGGTAAAAAGTTATATTATTATACATAAGAACTATAACTATGTTCTCCATCAATATTTAATAGTGCGGTCTGCAAGGCAGACTATTTTGCTCATTGCTTTGTGAGTTATTTACAGGTGGCAGGGAGATATTAAAAATATAGTGCTACTGAATGGTTAGGCATAAAATACATATAGAGCAGCAAAACATTAGTTTCGCCAGTATAGGTTAATGCTGATCGATGTTTATACTTAAGCATTAGCATTCTACAAATCTATTTATTGCTTAACAAGCTACTTACTTAACAACTAACCAGGGAGTAGATTACAAAAATCACTGTAAATGGAGGATCACTGTCGTTTCACTGTAAATGGAGGATCATGCCAGTTTCTAGCAAGCACTTGAAGCCTGAGATTAGCACGAACTCTTGTGCATGGTGCTCTGAGTAAGAAGATAAACAAGATTAAATAATATATGCAAAAGGCACAATTAAATAGTAATAGCCAAGTGGTCAGCTTAATTAATTTATTGAAGAGAAAGTTAAAAGAGCAGAATTGATTCTGATTTACAAATATCTTCGTAGGGAGATGACCTGAGAGTGGGAAGGCTCTTTTGTTTTGTCAAAAATGCATGAAGTAGGTAGAGCATTTGAAAGATAAGGTATACAAATCCGGACGAGAAAGAAGGCATGTGACATTCCAACAGTGACGAGAGCTAATCACTGGAACAATCTATGTAAAGGCTCGTCCATTTCTTGAGGTCTTCACATCAAGGTTAAATATTTCTCTCTAAGATGTTCCATAGCTCAAAGAGCAGGCATGACTCAGTGATGAAATTATTAAGTTAAAGCTATGCAGATTAGACCATGATAATAATAGTCCTTCCTAGCCTTGAAGTCTTAGCTTGCACTATTACATCATCTGCTAGCTACAGAAAAGACTAAACAGGAACTGTCAGTATTACCCAGAAGTGTGACTTCCATGTGACCAAGCATCTAAGCGAAAATCTCATTTATTTTAATTTGTAATTTAAAAAAATTCATGCCAAAATCTCCAGCTATAAATAGCTAATGCCTTGTCTGACTATGCCACATAGACTACAGAACAGTCAAATAAAATAAATTCTATGCATATCGACATAATCAAACGCCACCGTTGCTGTTGTTACTTGTAATCTACTTCACATGTGCAAACTTACTTCTCAAGGGTCCATCACTGACTTTTTAAAGCCCTCTGGCTAATCTTATTTGTTGAAAACCACAATGAGTAACACACAAGGCAAGAAATTTAATTTACTAAAAAAATGTGGTACGATGATTGAGCTTAACAATCTTGCCTTTATCTGAAAGAAAGTCTACTAAATCAGCAATGACCTCTGCTTGGCTATCTAAAAATTCCACAACGTCATCTGTAGTTAACTTTTCTTCCTTCTGTGAAATGTCTTTCTTACTTTGTCTGTGCTGACATTCTGTCTCTCTCTGTTAACATAATACTACAATTACACACATTAGGCCTCAGATATGAATGCAAAATACAACTAAATAATTTAATAAAGATGCTAAAGGTATTAGAAGATATTGTGTACTACTAAATCAAAAATCATTCGTATCAGAGTTTAACACTGCTGCCACTGATTCTCCCAACAAGTGTTCCGCTGAGACGGTGAGTCAATGTCTGATCTTCAGTGCACCAAAATGGTTCCACCGAAGTCAAGGATTTTATTCTAAGTTTATAATGTTACAACTAAAACCTGAATCTGGCCTGATATGTCCACATGAAAAGGTAAACACACTAACTCAGCTTACGGTGACCAAAACACAAATAACTTTCATAGGCTCCAAGTCATTCACCTTGCCTACAAGTTCTCATTTAACTCAATAGGGCTTAACTTAAACGTGTTAAATATCTTTCAATACCGTTCTCTCTTGCAAGCAGTAATCAGTAATGAATGCATTTCAGGATCCGATTTCCCTTAGAAATTCTTTAGAAACAGATTTATGAGAATGAGACCTTTGTACTCTTAAAGAATTTTGCTCTAATTCCAGATCAAAGTACTGAATCAGATCGTTCTAAGTCTTCACTGCTGAAAGAGTGAAAAACTGATATTTCTACGGAATACCAGTTGAACATCTTTAGAAGAGCAGATTTTCTAGACAGGGGAATGCTGATTGCCTGCCTGTAACTGTTCTTCCGCAAGATGTCTTCAATTCTCTCTCTGTGTATAACCTGCAAAGAACTACTGTTAAGTGGAGAATTTTGTCCATAATGGTATCTAAAGGGATGTATAATGTTTCTGTCTCTGCTGCAAAGTATGCATGCTGTCATACATTGGGCAGGATGTTCTTGGCAGACAGCTGAAATCCCAGTGCCAATTTAAGGATAGAATTTAGGGCAGATCCAGAGCATAACACTATCCATTAAGAATATAGTATATAGGGAACCTGTTAGTAGGACCTGAACCTTCTTTTCTTTCTCGGCTGAGTGATAACCAGTATGCTTCTTAAAGATATTAAGACAATATGTTTACACTGAGGGATAAGGTCTCTGACAGGAAGAAAGACCTTCATCAACTCTTTCAAAAACTTTGCAATGACAGAATGAGACAGATGAGAAATCCTTCATCTGCAGCAGTACACCAGGTATAACCATTAAATACACTTAAGAGTGATCAAGAGCCCTGTCCTCTCCAGCGGGTAGTTTAAGAAAATCTTCCAGAAGCCTTAGAGCAGAATGTTATCTTATATTCCTCATCAGATCTGGTTCACTTGGTCAGAAAAGCACACCCAGAGGAATTGTTCTTAGCGTTGATCCAAATCTCTGTAACTGGAGATGACCAGGC